TCACCAATGGTCCCTAGAGTGGTCTTGGACCTGTTTGAGCTCAGAATCAACCTAGTCTAAACAATTTACAAACATTTTACAAACTAAACTATTACACCAAAAGTGTGTAATTTCTAGAGTAACAATCACTCAAAACTAATCAAAAACACAAATATAAACATGGAAATAGCATGAATGTCAATGATCTTATTATTTCAGGGAATTATTCTACTGTCATTCGTTCTTTCAAAGGTTATCTCAGCGAATGCTTTCATATGAAAGATCTTGGAAAATTAAAATATTTTTTGGGCATTGAGGTGGATCAGAGCCCATCAAGTATATTTCTCACTCAGCGGAAATACGCCTTGGATATTATTTCTGAGACCGGCCTACTAGGAGCGAAACTAGTTTCCTTTCCTATTGAACAAAATCATACCCTTGCTCACGCCTCGGGTCCCTTGCTTGACGATTCTGAGAAATATCGACGCCTTGTAGGCCGTCTCATTTACTTGGCGGTTACCCGGCCGGACCTTGCTTACTCGGTTCATATCTTATCTCAATTTATGCAACATCCGCGGGTTGAACATCGGAACTCTGCTCTCCGTGTGGTACGTTACCTCAAAGGCTCTCCGGGTCAAGGTATTATCTTCTGAGCAGATAGTGATCTTACTCTTATTGGATGATGTGCTTCTGATAGGGCTGCATGTCCTATTACTCGTAGATCTCTCTCTGATTGGCTGGTCTTCCTTGGACACACTCCCATTTCTTGGAAAACTAAGAAGCAAACTACTGTGGCATGCTCATCGGCTGAAGCCGAATATCGTTCTATGGCTACTGGTACATGTGAATTAAAATGACTTAAAGCGCTTCTACTTAGTTTGGGAGTTCATCATCCTCAAGCTATCCCGCTTTATTGCGACAGTCAGTCTACTCTTCATATCATCCGCAATCCGGTTTTTAATGAGCGCACTAAACATATTGAGGTGGACTGTCACTTTGTTCACAATGCCATTCAGGACCGTCTCATTGCTCCCAGTTACGTTCCTACTACGATTCAACTGGCTGATATCTTTACCAAGGCTTTGGGTCGGGGAAGACTCAATTTCAATTTTTATTGCGCAAGTTGGGCATTTTTGATCCCCATGCTCCAACTTGAGGGGGAGGGGGGGTATTATGGAAATAATATATAATAATATATTAAAGAATATATTATGAGGATTGTCTTTTATTAGGATATTTTCTCTAGTTGGTAGTTTCCTTCTCGGAATGTATTTTCTTCTGTCTTGTAAATGATTAGTATTAGCTATATATATATATATATATATATGTGTATATATATATATATATATATATATATATATATATATATATATATATATATATATATATATATATATATATATATATATATATATATATATATATAGCGTCGAGCTTCAATATACAAAGCATAAGATTCATGAACAGTACTCTTCCATATTAATTCTTACTTGATACATGATGGTTGTTGGGCCTTATCTAGAAGAAAATATTAATATGAGTTCATTAGGATATAATTTAGTGATGAAATTAATTTGGGTCATTTGAATATCCACTTAATTTGATTATAAATTAAACCTTTCAAAGAATGAACCGATCCTATTAATTTTGAGTCCATTATCAAATGTGGCTCAATACATAAAAGACATGATCCAATTGATAAAGAGAGCAATGAATCTGATTAAGAAATATGTTTATATGCATGGAAAATGGTTGTGAACCTTGTTATAAAGGCTGTACAGATACATCGAACAAGTGCTGATTTTTCTGGCTATTAAAATGCGAGCAAACAAAGCCCAAAGCCCATTTTAATTAGGGCCCAAGGGGTATGGACGAATTTCCCAAACCCTAATGCATATTTTCAGATCCTCCACACCTATAAATAGGGGTCTCAGTTGAGAGAAAGAGGAGAACTTCCAGATGAAGAAACGTTGCAGCAAAACTTTGAAGAACTCTCGAGAGGCTCTGAACGATTCCAAAGAAGAGGAAGAGATCAAGCCATGTTTTTTGTCAAGAATATATGAATAATCCTTTGTGATTTCATCTATTCTTGATAAAATAAGTCCAAAAGTTGAAGAATGTTCGAAGATCTGAAGAACGAAGCTCGAAGATTCGAAGATCTGAAGAACAAAACTTTGAAGATTCGAAGATTTGAAAAACGAATCTTTGAAGATTTGAAGATATTCATATGAAGATTGAACCCAGATTCAATTGAAGACCAAAACATATATTCCGGGAAGCCCTTTAACAGAAGATCAAGTCATATAGCGGACCTTTTGTTGAAGATCAAGCTACCTGAAAACCGGAGGCCCTTCAAGCTGAATTCTTAATTCAAGTAGATTTGAAAATCTGAAGAATGGAGATTCGAAGATTCAAGTATCTCAAGAATGAAGATTCGAAGAAACGAAGAACGTTTGAATTTTTGAAGAATTAAAGATTTAATTTTAAATTAAATTCTTTAATTATATTCATATCAAATTGCAAGTGAAGAATCAGAGAATTCATATTTAGAAATTGTACCCGATATTTCACATATTATTTTTTGCGATCAATTTTAAGTAAATACTTAAAATTTGTTTCACGGATGGAGGAGATGAACAAGGGAGAAAAACTACCGTGCCTTGAAACTCTCCCTCTACGGTGCTCTGGCTTTAGGATGTTTTCTTTTGGACTGTTTTCAGTCCCAGACCAGACTTAAACAGACCAGACAAGACCAGACTTAAACAGACCAGACCAGACCAGATCAGACTTAACCAGACCAGACCAGACCAGACTTCCGTAGTTATAAATTAAATACACAGAGACCAGACGTTTACCAGACCAGACCAGACCAGACCAGACTTAAACAGACCAGACCAGACCAGACCAGACTTAAACAGACCAGACCAGACCAGACCAGCAAATTTCAGTCCAAAAGAAAACATCCTTAGTTCGTATGCAATTGATGAGTTTCAAGTATGGGTTATATTTATAAGGGGTTAGGCTCCAGGTTTTTAGAGTTTAAGTAGAACTCACGTTCTAACTTCTAAGGAGGTTTGTCTATGGACTCCTCATTTGCTTTACTCCTTTGCTATGGACGGATCTCGATATTAAAAGGACCATTTTAAATTTAGGATATATGACATCATTAGCTTTATGCGAAGATTTTGGGCTTGTTGGGATCCAGAAGAATTAAGAGCTTTTGAAAGAAAGAAAAAAAACTTGAATTTGTAACTATCGAGAGAGGCCCGTCCTTCTCTGAATGAAAAGTCCAAAGAAGTCTCGAGGAGGCATCTGTCTTATTGAGCTAACGTTGGATTTTACTGGGTTGCTCTCGAATGTTATTCGTCTTATCAAAAAGAAAATATTAATCTGGATCTCTTCGGATAAAGTGCAATGATTAATTTAATTTAATGGAGTGGTCCTATTAATTTTTTATTTCGAGCCCATTATTAAATTATGGCCTAAAAAATAAGATACATGATCCAATTGATGAAGAGGAAAATAAATGTAGCCAAGAAATGTGTCCATATGTATGGAAAATAGGTACGAACTTTATTAAAAAAGTTATCCAGATACGTATAAGTGCTGATTTTTGTGGCTATCAAAATGCTCATTTTAATGAGGGCCCATGAGTATGGACGAATTTTGAAAGCCTAAAGCATATCTCACCCCCTCCACACCTATAAATAGGGGTCTCAATTGAGTGAAATGTGGTAGAGAACTTCCAGTTGAAGAAATAAAGCAACATAAAAGCTGAGAAGAATTCCCGAGAGGCTCTGAACGATTCCGAAGAAAAGGAATAGATCAAGCAACAAATTTTATTAAGAATATAATATACGAATAATCCTTTGTGATTTCATTCATTCTTGATGAAATAAATCCAAAAGTTGAAGAACGTTCGAAAATTTGAAGAACGAAGCTCAAAGATTCGAAGATCTGAAGAACAATGTTATGAAGATTTGAAGATATGAAGAATTTGAATCTTTGAAGATTTGATAATATTCATATAAAGATTGAATCAAAGTTCAATTGATGATCAAGCCATAAAACGGTCCTTTTGTTGAAGATCAAGCTACTTGAACATCGGAGTTGAGGCCCGTCAAGCTGAATTATGCATTATCGATTCAAGAAGATTTTAAGTTCTGAAGAACGAAGATCTCAAGAACGAAGTTTCGAAGATCCGAAGAACGTTCGATCTATTTTAGAGAATCAAGTGAAGAATCAGAGGATTCATATTCAAGTGCAATAAAGTTCGAAGGCCCTTCAAGCTGTATTCTGCAGAATCAGCAGAATCAGAGGACTCGTATGGGCTTTAGAACTCTGATTTGTAATGCATTATAAATGAAGTCGGAACAATAGCTTTAGAACTCAAAATGATCTTGGGGGAAGATATAATACCCTTGAAACACAAGAATTTAGCTTATTCTATGTGATTTAGAGTTTTTAGCGTAAATAGATGAGAGCATTTTTAGCGTAAATACAGTCTTTAATTCCAAATTTGGTTCATTAGCTAATGATCCCTTATTATTTTGAAACCGATGGCTGAAGATGAATTTTAGAACTCGATAACATCTTTCCGACGAGATAGAAAACGATTTCAACGGAACGAAATACAACAAATATGATCACATCAAATTCTACACGAGTTCGAAGTAAAATCAGAAATGTTTGTGACTTTCAAGTTAATATGTACCATTTTCTATTTATAATATAGTTCTATAAAAACTCCAAATAATTTGAAAAAAAAATATTCACACTTCAACATACGAGCTAATATAGGTAGGCTCAAGCCGCTCAACCCGAAATGGCCCCAAACTATGCTATTCAATGGACTAATCAAGAGTTCAAGACGACTCATAGATGAGCATGCATTTATGATGAAGCTACGACATACGTCAGTGTGTATAGATCATCACTTCACCAGCTACCTGCAATCTGCTTGCTAACCTCCTACCGCTTCTCAATTATTTCAATTCATACATCATGCATATATATAGTCATATATATATGAATTTCAACATCGAGATTAGAAATAAAGACATAATCTGAGGCCGGGAGCAGCGCTTAATTTGATAAAAAAGAAATAAATATAATGGAGAGCATAAGTGAGTTGAGATGGAGAGGGAAAAGCCTTAAAGGTATCCAAACAAAGTCAGGAAAGAATGGAAGGGAGGAATACGAAGACGAGCCGCTGAGTCCATCAGCTCTGATGTTTCACGAACCCAACTTCAACGTGCATGTCATTGCAGTGATGGGGAGCAAGTGCACCCTCCAGCCTCAACTAATCAAGGACACCCTGGTCCACACCTTGCTGAAGCACCCTCGTTTTACCAGCGTCCCGGTATATATGCATGCATTTACTTCGTATATAATACTACCTCCCTTTTAAAAAGGTTCTCGGTATTGACTTTTCTTTGTGATGACAAACTTTGATTAATTATTTTAATTATGATATATGTATATAATTTATAAATTTTATACTTTTATGCAATTAGTTTGAATTATAAACATTTTGATATAATTTTCATTTCAAAATAACTTTGTATTAAAAATATTATGGAAAAACTGTCAAATAGGTCCTCGAACTTTCATAAAAAGGTCAATTAAGTCCTTCTATAGGAGGTTCTGTCCGGCCGTCGTGATTTGGGGTAGTTCCCGGTAGAATTTTTTGATGAATTTTTTTGAGCATCTTATTCACCAAGTCTAGTTTACTCATACCAAATTTTAGCTAAAAATTCAATCGGGAACATATTCAAATTAATTCGTGAAGATAACTGCGCATATTTGCGTTCTCGAATTAATTTGAATGCGCTCCCGATTAAATTTTTAGCTACAATTTTATATGAGTAAACTAAACTTGATGAATAAGATGCTCAAAAAATTTCATCAAAAAAATCCACCGGGAACCGCCCCATATCGCGACGACCGGACAAAGTCTCATATGGAAGGACTTAATTGACTTTTTTATGAAAGTTCAAGAACCTATTTGACAGTTTTCCCAAAATATTATTGACTAAAGTTGATCTTGAAAATTAGAAAATGAAACTGTCCGGTTTCAAAGTAAAGCATCTCTTTTCAAATAAATGTCCGGTTTTTGAGAGTAAAGCATTATTCCAATTCTTGGCATCCCTAATCCCAAGACCCTCCTCCCCTTTAGGTAGACACAAATCTGCCCAAGCAACCCTAGCAAATTTTCATCACCAAATTTGCATCCCAAAGTATTCATATTATAAAAGTGATATTATAAACATTTCCTTTAAATTACTCTCATAAAATATAAGATACGGGTATATAACTTTAACAAAATATGTTAATTAAAACCTTCGATCAAATTATATCACCATTGGCAAGAACCAGTTGCGGACCCAGAAAAACTGAGCCATGGGGTCTCTATCCTAATATAACTTCTTAATCCGGTATCAACTTTCAAGGATTCAAAATCAACATGTTGGCCATGTGAATTATCAGTCAAATTAATTTCATATTCCACAATATTTTAATCCAATTATTCATTTAATAATGATGAACCATTTGAATGAACATGTAAACTACTCTCAGTATAAAAATCATTTCAAAACTTACTACTCACTCCGTCCCAAATTGTTTGGCAAAATCAACATTTTTTGGTCAATCAATAACAAAAGTCAAACCTCATTATCGATAATTAACTCAATTTTTAATAATTAAAATGAACATATTCAGAAACTACATTAAATTTTCTTCAAATTTGAAAACTCCAAATTAGAATATAATTAAAAATTGACATCCTGATTAAGCAAATAAAATGAAATTGTTCGATCAAGAAAAGTCAAATTTGCAAATCAATTTGGGACGGATGTAGTATATATTTATGATTCTTTCGAAAAAGTGTTAACATAGGTTTTGCAATATATAAAATCATTTTTTTGTATTCTTCCTATAACTATATACTACGTAGTATCTATTATGCATGAAGATAAATAGTCCCGGAGTCAAATATATAAATATTTATGCATCAATATTTTGTCTGTTAATATACTTTATAATATATATATTAAATATTTGTAATTCAAATAAAATATTTACATAAAATATACGAAGTATACACCAAAATAATTGAATAAAGTTTGGTTGAGTTCGCGGGAATCATTGACCGAATTGCGTAGAAAAGTAACAATGTCAAGTTGAGGTAAATGAAGTTGGTTGGGTGAGGGTAGTTGGCTAGCGACTCTTATTATTTTTTAATTAGGAAAAATTGAAAATAATAATCCCAACTATTGTCGGTCCGCCGATAATAATCCCAACTATTGATTATATTTGTATAATCCCAACTATATGGACCATCCGCCAATAATGGTCCATGACTAGATATTACCTTCCAAAAAAGTGAATTTTAAATAGAAATTAAGTGTAAAAATTAAAAGTTGGGAATATTTATAGGGATTACTTGCTATATCTCTTCTCATCCACTTTAGAAACTACAAGAATTTATTTACAGGGACCATTATTGGCGGAAGGTTCCTAAAGTTGGGATTATTCTGAAATAATCGATAGTTGGGATTATTATAAGCGAACCGCCAATAGTTGGGATTATTACTATCAAATTTTCCAAGCACCACGAGTATACATCTTAGTAAAAAATAATAAGAGTTGCTGCTTATTAAATACGAGTATTGTTGCTGCTTATTAATTAAAAAACATAAATTGTTGCTGTTATTATTTTCCAAGTACCAATAGTAAATACGAGTATACAAGCAGCAAAAGTAGACATCTTTTATTTGTTTTTAATTGTTCATCCTTTTAAACTCTTTTTAACCCGACAGGTTAACCACCAAAATCTGTGAGTAATTGCTTGGAAACATTTACAAACAATGAAAAAATGCTGAACAAACAACATTAAAAACTAGATGAAAATGTATGGAGTAGATATCGAATCCTGCTGGATAATTCCCTTCAGCTTCTGTGACATGGGCTCTCCTCTCTTCCACTGGAAATTCCCAAACAGGCCCATTTTCGCAATATAAGTAGTTGCCTTATTAGTTTGGGCCGGTTAAAGCCCAAAATTAATATCAACATACATGATCGATGACCATCTATCGAGATCCTTCAAAGAACATATATCAATATCCAGATGAAAACAACGGTTCGAGATCCTTTTAAACTTATTATTGTAGATGTTCAATAAAAGTAAACATTTTGTTTTTTAAAAAAAGAATAAAATTAAACATCTAACAACACATATATCGTGAAACGGCTAATCTGCTCCTTGGAGTGAAACGCTAGAGAAGAAATAGCTAGGACATGTTTTTACTACGTCGTATATGCCTTTTTGGAGAAAATAAAGATTCTTAAATTATTTTGTAGTTTATCATTTTTCATATAGTCTAGCTATATACGAAGTATATGTTAATTAGTTCTTTTGTGATTTTTACTTTACTTGTTTTAGTATTTAATTAAAATTTGGGCTCATTTGCTTCTTTGGGTGAAAACATTAGAGACATACTACGTAGTATATTGAGTTGAAAAATATCAAGGACGTACTTGATCAAATGTTCTGGACATAATAGTACTAGTATAGTTTAAAATATGTTTCTTCATCATCCTTTGAATCTGTTTTTAAACTTGTATATTGTTCTAAAGAATCTCCAGAATTGGTGAAAGTTGTATACACCCTAACATTAACACCCTTAATTAGCTTTATGTTTTTGCATTTAAGTTCGCACCACGTTCTACTTAGAAATTATTAGTACTTACAACATGCGAAATTCACATCTTTGAAATCATTGGTATTAGAAGCAAAATTCGAAAAGTGAGTAAAACCTAATCAGTATTTCTTTAAATAAGATTAAAACATGATACCTCCTTCCGACTAATACCGGGAGAGGAAGTAATATGGTTATTAAGTGAGTTTTATGGTTGATATTAAATGAATAAACTAAAAAAAGTTAGAATAATTTAGAATCATATAAACTTTTGTACTGTGCCTATTTTTTCCCATGGAGAACATAATACTCCGTATTATTATAGCTAGTGTACCAGAAAAAATTTCATTTATTACTTCCTTTAATATTTAATAATGAAGTAGTGAATTGCGGGTAAAACATTGCAAAAAATCACAAATAGAAATGGAAATTTGAATTTTTTTAAAATTTGACTTTTTTGTGTGTGGACAAATTAAAAATGACCCTGTATGTATTAAACTTACCCACTACCACTACTAGCCACCGCTGAACCCTGGTTTCCACCCAGATTCCGGCTGTACTTCGCGGGTCAACTCTGCCATAGATGGAGGTCGACTAGGCAAAAAAAAAAAACAAATTTCTTTTTCCCCAGTCCGTGTATTGCCGACGGTCGCCAGAGTTCCGTAACTTCCACCACCAACAGACTGCCCCGGTTGCCCAAGGGAACAAGCTAGGGGACAATAAATTAATTAGATTATGGGTATTAAGGGAAGAATATTTAGATTTTACTCCTATTTGTGCAATTATGCTTCCATTTAGTCCTATTTAGAGTAATTATGAATACAAGAAATAGAAATTGCTCAATATAGGATCAATGTGCTTGCTAGCTGCAGGTTGAGGACGAGCAGCATAAAATGAAATGGGTGGTGACAGAGGTGGACTTGGATCAACATATTGTGGTGCCGGAATTGGAAACGGATGAAGGCGAAAACAATCCTCTCCTCCGCGGAGGGTCATCGCCGGCGGACAAGCTCGTGGAAGACTACATTTACAACCTGAGCAAAACAAGCCTCCCCAAATCAAAACCGCTGTGGGACCTCCACCTCCTCAACCTCAGAACCTCCGACGCCGAGGCCGTCGCAATCCTGAGAATCCACCACTCCCTCGGCGACGGCGCGTCGCTCATCTCACTGCTCTTGGCGTGCACTCGCCAGACCGCCCACCCTCATCTCCTCCCCACCATTCCGACGAAGAAAAGGAGGCCGCCGCCCAGCACCATGTCGTCGACCTCCTATGCATCCCCGAAATTCTGGACATATTTTGTGTCGATGTGGCATGTGGTGCTGATGATGTGGCACAGCATAGTTGACGTGATTATGGCTGTCGCTACCGCCATGTTCCTAAAGGATACTGCTACTCCTATCAAGGCTATGCCCGGTTCACAGTTTCATCCCAGGCGGGTCGTTTTTCGGACTTTGAGTCTACATGATTTCAAAGTCATCAAGAACGCCATGGACATGGTATGTGTAAATATTGACTTTTGACAAAGTCATCATGATTTCGGGTTGTTAATACTGCTACCTCCGTTCTCTTTTAGTTGCAACATTGTACTTTTTGCACTATTCACATCTTCTACTTTGACTACATTTTATTAGTTGATGTTTAATAAATTAAATTTTTAAAAATATTGTTAAATTCTTCACATTCTAAAATTTCAAAATATGAATTTTTTAAATTTTTTACGAATAAGGAATGAAAGATATTAATGGTCAAACTTGTGCATTGGCAAACGTGAAATGTTGACTGTTGCAATTAAAAAGGAACGGAGGAAGTATCACTTTATCTTTTACACGTATCATACATTCATTATGACAAAGTTAACTATTAAATCGTACTTGTAGTATTTATGTGATAAATGCTAATCAACTTGTATATCATTTATCTGATATTATAAATTCTAATCAACGTACTACTCCCTTCGTCACTTTTAGTTAGCTAAACTTCAGTTTTCAAGTCAGTTGTGTCTAACTTTGACCGATTATATATTTATATGCATAAGTATTGAAAATATGAAAATGATATGAAAACGCTCTTTGTCCAAAAAAAAAACTATCCTAACAATATGAAATTACATACTGTTAAATTTTTCATAATCATATTAGTTAAAATAATTGGTCAAAATTTACCATCTTTGACTGGAAAAGTCAAAGATGACTAACTATAATAGGACGGAGGTATTACAAACTTTTTTTGTGAGAGATACATCTTTTATCTAGTGGTTGAAAAATGCTAGACGTTTTCATATCATCAGTCTTTGGAAAATAAATAAGAAGTTTATTTGTAATATTTTCTTATTTCTTTTTCTATATTTTATTTCCCTTCACATTTTATTTATATAATAAATACAACAAAATGAGTTGAACTACTATTTCCATTTTATATTTCTAAAATATAGAACGTGATCAACTAAAATAAAAAACATAAGCAATCAGATCAAATCGAATAAATTATACCTAATAATTTTCACTTTGGTAAACTGAACTTGAAACAAATGATTTTAGTTTGGTACAATATCTCTCAATCAAATAAATTAAAACCAAACTAAAAAAATAAAAAACTTTAAAAATAACGTCAAAATGTAAAAAAAATATAAAATAAAACATCTGCTTCTTATTAAATTCAATAAGAATTGTTTATCTGACACGATGCACCATCTTAATTATCAATACATTCAAATAATGTTTTACATTATGAAGCATATACAAAATTCAATGCAAGTACAAATTGAGCATATTACTTTCGCGCAACGCGCAATCACTTTTCTAGTATAAATGATGGGGAGTATTATTTTGTCTTCAATTTCCTGCTTCATAAATGTATTTTGTCTTCAATTTCCTGCTTAATAAAATATTTCGAATAATTGCGCAGACCATAAACGATGTTGGATTAGGAGTCACGCAGGCTGGATTGTCACGTTATCTCAATAGACGATATGGTAACTCTTCATTAATCATACTCCCTCTGTCCCTAAAAGAAGTTTCATTTCACTATTCCTTGGTCAACTTAAATCACTCTTAATCTCTTACTTTTTATATCAAAATTTTATAAAAGTTGAATTATTTTTTGCAGGCTTTGTAGCGGGTTTAATGTAGTTTCTGAATATGTAAATTTTATTTACTAAAAATAATCCGAGTTTTCACAGGCATCATTTAACTTTATCGTCGGTCAACCTCGTAATCCGCAATTGGAACAACATTTAGGGACGGAGGGAGTAATACGGAGTACATCTTATTTTACAAAAATCTACATCCATTACATTAACTTTCTGAACTTTGTGAGAATGACTTGTTTGTGTGTCACAATTGGGTTATTCAAATAGAATGGGTTGATGATATAATAACACTGCGTACAAAACAATTACTACGAATACATGAACACCTTCAAATCACTTCGAATGATAACATTTTTAATAAAGGACATTCTCACATCATTTTCATATTATAATTATTCTCATATATAAATATATAATAGGTCAAAGATAAATATCTATCACTGAACAAAAAATCAAATGCATAGTATATATTTAATTAAAAGGGGCACGGCGACAAAGTCTCAATATAGACATTTCTAATGTGATTAGCTCTTTTATTTAGTTTATACTCTTTTTGGAAAAATTGATAGTAATAATCCCAACTATTGGCGGTCCGCTCATAATAATCCCAACTATTGATTATTACAGAATAATCCCAACTTTAGGGACCTTCCGCCAATAATGGTCCCTATGAATAAATTCTTGTAGTTTCTAAAGTGGATGGGGTGAGATATAACAAGTAATCCCTCTAAATAATCTCAACTTTTAATTTTTACGTTTAATTTCTATTTAAAATTCACTTTTTATAGAGGTAATATATGGTCATGGACCATTATTGGCGGATGATAGTCTATATAGTTGGGATTATACAAAAATAATCAATAGTTGGGATTATTTTCAGCGGACCGGCAATAGTTGAGATTATTATTTTCAATTTTTCCACTCTTTTTTTGTACTGCTTTTGTTTTTTCCTTTATCGTTCTACTCTATTTTTGTTTTTATCAATAAAATTCCCCTTAAAAAATAAATTGAATTAAAAGGGACATAGAGTGCATATGTAACATTCACTTCACACATACTTTCCGCAAGATGTTGATCCATGAAATAGAATAGAAATTTTTCATGGCACTATATATGACAGGATTCACATTTTGTTGGTGATATTTATTCTTGCATATAAGAGTTGCATTCGAAAACTTTTGTGGATATTTCATACTCCCTATTTGTGTATCTCAAGACTATTTCAAGAAATGTAAAGAATAAATTCCACTTTTGGTCAAACGAGTTTTAAGTGATTTCCACATTTAGTCCACATCTTTCACTTTGTCCACTTTTGGTACATGACTATTGTGTTTTCGCCTATATATGGTCCTTCCGGCATTATTTCCGATAGTTAAAATCGCCGGAAAAGGACCTAAAACGGTTAAAAAACATTATTCAAGTACCAAAAGTGGATAAAGTGAAAGACGTGAACTAAAGATGAAATTGGCACAAAATGCGTGGGACCAAAAGTGGAATTGGAATTAATTCAATTGTAAATACTCCGTATCACCGAGTATCAAATAACCATTCTGAAAATTGCCGCAAAAAACAATGAATACTGCGGGGAATTTTTCAAGTCAGCTTTTGTGCTTTTTTTTGTCAAGAGCTTTTGTGCTTTAATTTTCAACTGCATCCTTCATTACATTATTGTAAAAGGTGGAATCTCCCACCCCAAAAGCCCACACAACCCGACACGACAGGATGACGAAGGAGTAAGTCACGGTGACTCAGTCGACCCAATAGTGGTAGACCTTACACTCGTGCGCACCGGAGGTCCAGCCCAGCACGCAGGAACTGTAACTTCCACACGGCCGCGGTAGATTTCGAACCTTGATCATTGTTCCAAATTTCTCACCAATCAACTAACTGAGCTACCCGTGCGATAGAAAATAATTGCAAGAGACATAGAACTTACCCCATATGAGTTACATCATTGTCACATCACACATGTTTCAATGAAAAAAATACTGGAGTACTCCCTCTGTCCCGGATTGTTGTTCCAAATTTCCTTTTTGGGATGTCCCAAAAAGAAGTTCATTTTCCCTTTTTGACAAAGAATTTGTGGTTCACAGCATTTCTCTCTCCTCTGCACAACTCTCCACCACACAATTCCCACTTTCTTAATCTGTGTGCCACTTTATTTTGGAACAACAATTAGGGACGGAGGTAGTAATTGCCTAAAAAGTGGACTCGGATCAAATGGACCTAATTTGCACTTATTTAGAGCCGTTTGGAAGCGCGAAAATCGGTTGATATGGTTGATTCCGCTGAAATTTATGAAGTTCTGGCTGAAGTAACTGCATTGGCTGATTCCGCTGATTTAAGAAAAAATTATTTTTAAAATTTATTTTGTTAACAAAATAAAGAAAAAGTTGTATGTAAAATAGTTAAAATGATCATATCATTTACAGTAACTTCAGCCAATACAGCCAGAAAAGTAACTACAACCTTACTTTTTCTGCTTATTACACAATTTAGTGCGCGAAAGCAAAAGTTACGTGTTTGATGAAAATGTTGGCTGATAAGCCTGATAAGCCGAAAAACAGTATTGCCAAACGGCCTCTTAATTTCCGCATTAATATATGTAGTAATATAATATGATCACTTAAGATTAAAAACCGAATATAAAATATTATTATGATCAAATTGGTAATATAGTTATTACATATAAAAGAGTTCATATTTTTATAAATATTTTTTATTTTAATGTTAAGTATGTAATTATTTCTAATTGAAAACGAGTTTTAGTTATAAATATGTAACGAATATTGACTTTTGAACTCGTGTAAAGCTGACTATGCTCTAGACGTTTTATAATACATAGTATGTGAATTTGCTAACGACAAATTATATACAGTACTACGTATGTGTTTGATATAGTATGTACGTATAATACATGCTCTAATCGTGTAAAGTTTAAATACTTGTCTATATTATAACTCCTAGTGCTAAGAGGATCTCCATTCATGATATCAAAATAAATTGTTTTTGTATTACACATCATTGTCACATCACATTTATTCAATAAATTTTAAATAATTTCAAATATTAAAACTCTTTATCAACCATGATACTCGAATAATTAGTTTTTGTAGGCCATGCATTAAATGCAGCTTAACTACAACCTAAAATAATATGGGATCCAAATCTTGAAACTGAATTTTCATTTTCAATAATCTTCCTAAATAATCTCTCTCTCACAATGATAATTTTTCAAATGATCTTCCACATCGTTCAATTAAACCTTAAATAATCTAATGAATGCAAATGCCCTGAAGATACAAATTTCAGTCCAATTTATTTAAATAAAGGTCTCCAAGTAAGACTAAACATAGACAAAGTTTATAAATATAATTACATATGTTTTATTGATAAAATAGATTTTATTTGGTGCTATTAAAGTATATAGTTTCATCAATTAAGACTAATTGAGTGCTATTTTAGGATAAAGAAAAAAAGTATTGGAGGTTTTATTTGTACAGTTTGTTTATGAGTTAATCACCAAATATGAAAGAGGATTTAAAGTTTAAACAATTAAGTTCTTATATCGATGTGATTACAATTCAACCTCAGGCGAGGGCAAGGAGAGCCATTTAGGAGATAGAGATACGGATAACGGGAAGCATCTTCCTGACAACATCCTACTTCGGTCAACACTTCTTGTTAACCTAAGACCATCTGCTGGAATACAGGTTCGTTTGAAAACTAGCTCTCACCTTTGGTAAATGAAAGAAACATTTCCCAAAATAGAATTAAATAACATTTACAATTTCAAAATAAGACTTATATGTTTTTCTTTTCGAAATAAGAGTAAGATGACAATATTTGCTGTCATTTTTTAGTCATGATTATCAAATATAGTTGCAATATTATGCATACAACGTGACAGTGATTGTTATAATTAATGACAATATTTATGAATTCTTATTTTGGAAAGAAAACTAGCTCTCACCTTTGGTAAATTAAATTGTGTGCTCCGTTCCCGTGAATAACTTAATAATTAACAAGTTACATGCGTAGGCATTAGCAGATATGATGGAAAAGGAGTCAGAAGCGAAATGGGGAAATTGGATTGGTTATGTAATCCTCCCATTCAGAATTGCGTTGCGGGATAATCCCTTGGATTATCTAAGAGAAGCCAAGCAAACCATTGACCGCAAGAAACGTTCCCTCGAAGCGCTTTACACTTTTTTTATAGCTGAGTTTGTACTTAAGCTTTTCGGCATTAAGGTACACTTTTTTTATAGCAGAGTTTGTACTTAAGCTTTTCGGCATTAAGGTACATACATTTGCATTCCTACGCACATATATCAATTAGCCCCAATATAATGTTAAGAGTAAAATATAGCGAATATAAAAATAGAGTAATCGATCACGATATTCTAAAGTCCTATCATGCCCTTGTTATATGTTCCTTGGTAAATGACTCGTGATCCTCAGCTCATTTTTAACACCATCATTGTAGTTATAATGAAACTTAACCATGGAGCAAACTTTTTAATACTAACAAAGTGGAAATGTATGGTTGTGGTTGAGTAAGAAAAAAGGTAAATGAATGTGAGCCACACAAAATTTTCCAAAAAAGGAAATGAGAAGTATTGTTTGAAACTGTCCAAAAAGGAAAGTAGGAAGTATAAAATTCGTAACTTTCATATTCCCTCCGTCCCAAAAAGGTTGGCCAAATTTCCATTTTTTGGATGTCCCAAAAAGATTGACCATTTCCATTTAAAGTAGAAAGAATGACTAAACTAATACTCTCACGTACGTTGCAGCTGGACAAAAATAGATCTAATGATGGATACAGACATAAATAAGACCTAATAATTCTCAAAAGGCAGAAATACCCTTTCCATTAGCCTTCAAACTCTTCGTCTACAAAATCCAGTAGCTCCCAGCGAACTCCTGGCCTCCATCTTCAACAAAGCCTCTGTCTCTGCTTCTTCGTCGGCTGCCGACGCCTTCCAATCGCATCAGCATCTTCACTGCCTGCCAATCGCCTCACCATCGCTGCTGCCTACCAATCGCCCCACCATCGCCGCCGCCTGCCAATCGCCTCACCATGACCGACGGTGGCAGGAGCGGACAATTATTTTGTTTTATTTTTGTCACTTTTAGGTTTTGGTCACTATCATATTTAGTCACTGTCGTTACTGTAGCATCCATGAGTAGTTTAGCCTTTGTTTAGTCCTATTTTGGGATATTTTTAAAGAAGTTCATTTTTTTTTTCAAAGCTCTTTTTTTAGTAATATTTTTTTTACGTAACACCTTTAAAGTAAGGAATATGTGGCTAAAGTTAATTCTCTCTCCTCTGCAAGTCAATTTTGTCCAACCTTTTCGAGACGGAGGGAGTAATAAATACCTGTACTAATGAGAATCATGATCCAAACTTTATGGGATGAAAAATCAATTTTGTTTAATTCATTATATCATGACTCTGTGGATGGGAACTTGTATCGTATATACGTACTACTACGTATTTAATTTTCCCTTTATATATATATATATATATATATATATAGGTAGCAGGCTGGTTATCACACAGGATACTTGAGCACACGACAATGTGTTTCTCCAACTTGGTTGGTCCTGAAGAGGAAATCGGGTTTTGTGGTCACCCCATGGCATATCTTGCTCCTTGTTCTTATGGACAGCCCCATGTAAGTTGTAGGCCGGCATTTTAGCTTCGGCCTGAAGAATAGGATATACTACGTCAAATTTCAATATATGATCTCATTCCCTTTTCCTTTATGGATTCAGCTTCTTTAATTAGCTTCTTATTTGAATCTTCCTCGGAATCTCAACATATTCATATAAGCCTTTATGATTCAATACGCTTCTAATATGGTTTCAATATCTATATAAAATGTAAACGTTTAATGACTTACACTCCTTATAGTGTTATATATTTATATGTAGAAAGAAGTAACCCCTCACGTTTCGTAATCAAATTAGAGAACGAATTTGTTATGGACTGAGCATGATATTGAAAGAATTACAACACATAACAATCTATTACTCAATTGGTAAAATCATATGCTACTATTTTTAAACAGGAGTTTATAAAAATTTAATTAAAAGACTTATATATATCACGATTGTTCTTAGCTTTACAATTTTCCATTGCCTAATATTATTTGATAATAACGTAATTATAAATTTACAACTATAGTTTTCCTTTTTACTAAGCATATCATGTAATTAATTATCACATTCCCAAAATTAGATAGAAAATAATAACATTATACTTTAGTGAATCAATATAAAATAACTACAAATATATATCAACATACTAATGAAAAGAATAAAATTGACCAAATACAAACAAATGAAACAATACAAAAATATGGACAACGAGAAAATATAAAACTAACACCACAACAATGGATTTAATTAAGAGAATTTACCCAAAATAGGACTAAAAAGGTTTGAAAATTCCAAAATAGGACTGACATATTTTTATTCCCAAAATAGGACTAATTACTACCATGTTGTGGCAGTACCAGACTTCAAACATGGCAGTATTTTCAAACATGGCAGTAAGTACTCCTATTTTGGGAATAAAAAACATGACATTCCTATTTTGGAATTTTCAAACTGTTTTAGTCCTATTTCGGGAACTTTCCCAATAATAAACGCTCTAGCTATGCAACTAACTAAATTAAAGGCCAACTTCGAGAGAAAGTATCGTAATAACATTAAAAGAAAATGATGTAAATCTTGAGAAAGAGAGAGAGACCCACAATATATGATTATAAGTCCATAAAAGAGCTATGGTTGCTTATAGGAGTAAAAGTAACTAGTATATACTCAAATAAAATTACATAGTAAATGTTTTTAATAACTAAATATGAGAAAAATTAGGTGTCTAACATTTTATACCATCCTTTTTATTTGGGACCGGCTAAACAAGTCTTTGGGATGAGAATAATTCGTGATAGAATAAAAAGACTATTGTGGCTATCTCAAACGAGGTACACAGAGAAAGTGTCGGAGCAGTTCAACAGGGACACAAAGCCTCTTAAACACCACTTGCCAGACACTTGTGGTTGTGTTCGAAGAGAAGTCCTACAAGTGAGAAAGAAATTTCAGAAATGCATAAGATTCCATATTCATATGGTAGGTAGTCTCATGTATGCAATGATATGCACAAGACCAAATATCGTCTATGTATTTGGAGTCGTCAGTCGCTTCCTGGCCAACCCCGGGATTGAACATTGAGTTGCTGCCAAATGGATCCTCAGATATTTACATGTAACTTCTAAAAGATATTTATGCTTTGGAAAACTAAGGAAAACATGTGTTGGAGGGATACACAGATGCAGACGTAGACGGTGATATTAAAGGAAATCAATGTTGGGATGCTTAACTACTTCTACAAGGGAGCTGTTTCCTGCCAATGAAAGTTGCAAAAGTGAGTTGCATTATTCACAACAAAGGCATAGTACGTACATTGCAACTATTGAATATTGCAAGGAGATACTGTGAATGAAGAATTGAACATGTTGCTCGAGCTTGAAATATATCAAGAAATTTACATATTGAAAAGCCATCATCAAAGTGAAATTTACTTTGTAAGGAACTCAATATTTTATTCTCGCACAAAGCATATTGACACACGACATCATTGCATTTGAGAAGTCTTTGAGGAAAGGAAATTATATCTTGAAAAGGTTCTCACACAAGAAATGGCCAGACATGATGATTAAAGTAATACTGACAAAGAAGTTTGTCCAAAGCTATTATCACTGCCAAAGTGCATGTTTGCAATTATCCAGAATTCAGTCGGGAGAGAATATTTGTTGGGATCCCTCCTTAATTGGAGAGGTTCTAAAAAGTTCTACATCTTTGTAGAACACTCCCTAGAATCCTAGAGATGTGTAGAAGTCTCTAGAAGTTTGGGAAATAGTGTAGAACCCTCTGGAATATTCTAGAGATGTGTGAAACCTTCTTGGACCTTATGGAAAAGTATGAAAGGATATGGAAGGGAGTGGAAGGTGTAGAGACTCTTGGTAGCTAGATCTCTAAAGTATGGAGACATGTGTAGAGAGTACTAAACAACTATTATCTACCATTGATTGGGATGTGATGTAGTATAAACAGGAGTAGGTGCCTTTTTCTTCCTAACCATCCAAGCCTAAATTGAATTCACTTCTTAAAGTGAGAAAGCTAGATAGTGAGAAAGCCTCTTTGCATTGACAGAGAAGAAAAATAGTTTGAAAAGTCTTTATCCTCAAGCTTGAGTGAGCCACTATATATAGAGTGAGTTAATTTTGTAAATACATCCTTTTAATCCTACTATCTTTTGTATAGTGGAAGAATCTCCCCATTAGAGAGTTATGCGCGTGTGCTCCCATGATCTCCTTTAATTCATAATTAAGTGCATATCTTAACTTCATGTAGCAGAAAAGTCTGAGTTTTCCCAACAAATACTTGGAGTCTTGAGCCAAAATTGTTTAAGGAGTTCATCAAACAACCCAGATCGGAGTAATGAGGTATGGAGTTAGCTAGCCGACCAAAATGTTATGATAAACGGCCGGGCCCAAACTCAAAAATTCTAAAAGCTACGTATTGAGAAATCATCGAGACATGAGTTATCTTCGTCCCTCAATTGGATATTACTCGTGGACGTGAGTTAATAAACTTCAACTCGTGTAGATGTTTTTCATGCGGAATATGTTTTAGTTATATATATATGTCTTTTTCACTAAGTCCAAAAGATTTTTTATGCACACACACATTCACTCTATATTTTCTCAATCCAAAAGGTGGAATGGCCCAGTTCAGGTGTCCCCACACTTTGGAACGATAGAAAAATGAAACAGTATATCATTGGGTGAAACTCTCACACTGTCGCTATTGGGATTGAACCCAAGGGCTGAACTCAACCAATGCATCATTTGGCCTATTTTATTTATTTTATATTTTTTGTGTTGTCCTGCCATATCCCCCCATGCCCATATTTTCCATGCATATTTGTGTTTCTGGTTTGTTGAATCGATGATGCATCTTTTAAAATCTATTGCAAACCTTCATGCATGCAGGGATTGATGATTAACTTCTTGAGCTATGTAAACAAGATGACCATGGTCCTATCAGTGGACGAAAACGTTATTCCTAATCCACACCAACTGCTAGAAGATCTTGAAATGTCCCTCAATATCATGAAGGATGCTGTCGTTGCCAAGGACTAGTGTAATAGTAGTATATGACTCAATATATGGTTAAATTTTTAATATGTTGAAATATCTATATCAGATCATTAGTAATATCACATATTTTTAATCCGTTCAAGTATGGATTTTAAAATACAATTAATGTGTGCGTTATATGTGCTCCTTTTGATCTCACTTTTCAATTTTGATAATTATTTGGTGTAACACCCTACTTTTTGTGAGATAATTATATCAGTCATTACTTTTAGGTTACTTTTATTAATAATGTGATTTATTATTTCATCATATTTTATTTATGACATATAACATTGACTTACAAGCTCTGATAATTTAAAATGACTAGTTTAAATATGAAATAATCATACTCTATCAGTTTATTCGTGAGGGTTGAATACTTTTCATTTCGGTCAAAATTACATTTTTAATTAATATAAGTATAACAAATCAAATTACTTAGTTTAGCCCAATTAAAATATTATTAAAAATTTCGGGCCGCATGGTTCATTTGCTATGGCAATTGCCATTAGGAATGAACGGTGAGTGTTAGATGATTTTTCACAACTCCCATAATGTGTCATAGGAAATAGTATGTGTATCAGAGAAAAGAGGTGGAGAGGGCAATGCCAAGATGCACTTTTACTCATTATTATATGCGTTACATAATCTTTTGGATTAACTGATGGGAATTTTCGACGCATTCCCTGCCCTAAAAGACTCATTGGCCATGGTTGGAAGCTGGAATTATTGATGATTATTAAGAGTGTCAAATTACTTGATATATTGTGGGGAAGCTTGGCCACTTGAGTGTCAAAATCTTGGCCATTCCACCTTTGGTCAAATTTCTATGGTTGGAAGCTTGAATTATTGAGTATTAAGAGTCCCCAAATGTGATCACTTAATGTAGCTTCATAGGTTAGCTGATCGTTGAAACGCGTGGGGAAAAATCCTAATAAAAAAGTTTTCTTTTGGTGGGGAGATGGATTCAACATGGGTGAAGAATTCCCCTATGTTCAAAAAATTAAACATTCGTGAAAGTGAAATAAATGTTGGTCTCTAGATCAAATAAATTTCATCAATTTTATCAAGGGTAACCAACAAATATGCATATTCTTTAGTCTTTTTATATGACCAAAGCAAATACACCCAAAAACACATAAAGGGTGATTGTCGAGCAAACAGCAAATAAAACTTTGAAAAGTGTTTTATATTGAAGCAATGGATACTGTGAACAGTTAATCAAATTAGCAATAATAAGAACATATTATCCTCTGAAAGATAACTCCCTGAAATTGTAATGCCCAAGAATCATTAAGCATAAGTTGATGTTTTCATTCTACCCATCCATTTTACTAAGATGTATAAAAAATTATTCCATTGGTGTTAAAACAATTATCAAGCAAAAAAATTATGTGCCATTGTTAGTACAAACTATAGAAATTTTGCTCGAAAACTGATTATCAATCTTTTTTACAAAATATATAAGCATACCATAAACTTCCTTTTGATCAACCAACAAATTATAAACTCAAATAATTTAACATCTGAAAACTTATCCACTATTGTCAACAAATTATAAATCCAAATTATAAACTTCAATTTTTAACTTCTCGTTAAATCATTCTGCATTTACTTTGTGCCTTTATTAATACCTATCTCTAGAAACTAAAAAAAAAATCCTAAATTCACCATACAAAATTCACCACCTCATGTGTTCGTTAATGGATTCATTAGCGAGGCAGGTGAGGTGTGGTGTAATGATGGACCGGATACTTAGCGTACGTGATTCTATCGGAGAAAGTGTTACAACTTCCGACATATTTTGACATCTTGTCTGAGATTTTCAAAAAAGAGACAACAATATGACTAGACTGTGAGTGAGATGAGCCACAAGACAAAAATCACAACATGTAAGCTAAAATCAGGATTAAGAGGTTGTCACGGGTCATTTTGAGTCATCCGATTGATTTTTATAAGTAGACGTATTTATATAACACTTCATTGAGTACATGACCTTATGTGGCGATTTCGTAATAGTAGAAGGCCTTATTTGACCTTTTTTTACCTAATTATTTGTTTTTTCCCGGGACCAACCACACTTGGTGGGGGAAGCGCCGGGGAACACTTCCCATTTTTATTAAAAAAAGTTTAAAGATGCAAGAAAATTAAAGATGACATGGGTTGAATGAGAAAAAAATAAGAAAAAAGAGATACATTAGCAATTGAAATTTCTTGTAGGAATTTCAAGTGTTGTTGAGTAATTCTTGTTGAATTTGTTGTGGAACCGGATCTCATTCTTCACATAGGGTTGGTATGTTTTGGCCTCCGGGTGAGTTGATTTATATCTATTAAATTAAGAGCCGCTGCTAGTTTGTCTGGTGAGTCAAACCTCGCATCGATCGGGTATAAGAAATAGTCAGTTTCATCACGGGGTATCTTGGAGTGACTTCTTGTGAGAAGTATATTCCACCTCATAGTATATTTGGGACTCCTCTTCAACCATGGTGTTGTTCTTTGATATTTTTTTCTTGTTTCTCACCTCCGTGAACCCATCAGAACACTCTTCCAAGGCTTCTAGTTAACCTGTAACATTAGAAAAATTATGAAAAACAGAGGGGTCCTCAGATTTAGCATCATCATTGGACAAGTCAGTGATTATTGCAGTATCAACTTCGGGGGGATCACAAATAATTTCATCATCTCCGGTATTTGTGGTGTGTTTTCGGTTAGCAGCATTGGCTCCAATCGATTAAGTATCAATAGGCACCATCATCACTCGATGTACTTCACCAACCGTCAGATGACGCGCACTTTGTCGTAGTGTGCACTCAAAATAAATATTCAATACAATAATTATACGTAGTATAATGAAGTAAGGTTCGTATCCACAGGGAAGAGAATACTTTTCTTTTTCTAGATCGAGAACTGGTAACAAAAGGGGGGTTTTAGTTTGATTTGATTTAATTAATTAAATACGAAGATAAACGACTTGTGTGGTTTACTTAATAGAGATGAAGACTTGGCTTTGCTTTTGTCCACTTAATGAAATGTTCGTCGATCCCGGTTATATCTTTAATTATCTTCCTCTCGAATACTCAATCGAGGAGTATATCCAATTCATCGAGGGTAGTTATTAATAACGAGACACGTTCATTAATAAAACTTACTACCGAGTCAATATAGAACACGCCCCGTATATTAACCCGAGAGTAGCAATACAATCAAGATGAAAACGATTGAGATTGATAACCTCAACACAAGCGGTTTATCGGTTTAATCAATATAATTAATTCCCCTTCGGTTATTAACCATGAGACGCATGCATTAACAACCCAAGTTTACTACCGTGAAAGGACCGAATTAATAAAAAGAGTATTAATCGATTGATTCTAGTAATAATTAATATATGAAACAAAACTAGTTGATCCTTTAAGTAGTGCTCAAAATATTAATATGGAATAGGAATAGGAATTAATTAATATTCAAGGAAGAAGATTAAAGAAAATAACTCACAACTTAAAATTCATTAAGCTTCAAAGTAGCTTAGCAAAACCAAGATGGAAGGGTTTAGCTCCTCATTTGGAGACTAAACATGAAGAAAATATAAAGAAATAACTTGTCTAAACTGAGCTTAGAAGTATATGTGAATTGGTGATCTAATGGGAAGGAAATGGGGTGTATTTATAGGCTTTTGGAGGCTGCAGGGTCGTGTACCCGATCGAGTATATAGGGTACTCGATCGGGTCTTCAGTTGCTTCGTGGAAGCTGGAAAAACTGGGACATACGCAACCGGGTATGTCGGCTACCTGATCGGGTATGACACCCGAACGTGGTCAAATATATTCCTGAATGTTGCTTTGTTCCCGGATCCGATCCAATTTGATTTTTTTCAGTGACTTACCTGATCAGGTATAGGTCATACCCGACCGGGTACAACACAAAAATCAGGATCTTTATTTTTGTCTTGAGATTTTTGCACCTTTTTTCCATTTGTGATGTTCACCAATGATCCCTAGAGTGATCTTGGACCTGTTTGAGCTCAGAATAAATTTAATGTAAACAAATTACAAACATTTTACAAACTAAGCTATTACACCAAAAGTGTGTAATTTCCAAAGTAACAATCAATCTAAACTAATTAAAAACACAAACATAAACATGTAAATTACATGAATGTTCAACTCCCCCACACTTAGTTTCTTTACTCGACCTCGAGTAAAACCAAATGTTTATACAATGTTCATCAAAGGACCATAAGTTCAAAAATAGCGAGAAATAAGAAAATAAGACCACCAAGTATTGTAAATGAGTTTAGAAAACAACATTTCCTTGGGTTTAAGGGTCCTTCTTCTTCTTCTTCTTCTTCTTCTTCTTCTTCTTCTTCTTCTTCTTCTTCTTCTTCTTCTTCTTCTTCTTCTTCTTCTTCTTCTTCTTCTCCTCCTCCTCCTCCTCCTCCTCCTCCTCCTCCTCCAAGAGATGATGATGTCCTGGAAAAACAAATTTTCTCTCATATCTCTCATTTTGCCTTGGAGTCTTTTCAGGTTTTCATTCCAGCATCTCTTTTCTTTTTCTTTCCTCACCACTCACTCATCATTTTTCGTAAGTCCTTTTTGCTTAGATTGCCCATTTTTTCGGTTTTCAACCTAACTAGCATTTCATTTCTTTTATTTATCTATTTTTTTGTGTGTACAATAAGTACAAGAAAATAATGCTTAGCACAAGGTAAAAACAAAGGGAATGTACCTACCAAGAGATGAATCTTCCTCCCCCACACTTGAATCATGACGCTATCCCTAGTGCCCGCCATCTCCGCCATAATAGCCTCCTCCAAAGCCGCTCTCGTGTACATCATCACCACCTCCTTCTCCCATAGTAGTGTCCCCGCCATCATACCCTCCACTGCCGGAACTAGAACCACCAAAATTACCCCAATCCGAGGGGTGATACCAAGACGGTGGTGGTGGTGAAGTCATGGATGCAAATCCGGCAAGGTGGGACATGTAAGAGAGTATGTTGGGCCATACATATCCTCCGGTAATCGTCTTCATACTGTTGCATGTCGGCCACGCGTTGTTCCTCCATCCTTTGAAATGCCGCTTGTTGCTCCGCCCGAAATTCATCAAAGTGCCGGTCCCTTTCCCTTTGATCCTCCCGGTAGTGGCCGATCTCTTCATGAAGTTGGGCAAATTGCCCTCCCATCTTTGTGTATTTAAGGCCCATGTTTTGAAAACCGTTTAGGAGGGATTGT